AACCATTCTACTTGAATACAAAGCAGTTATTTTGCTGGCAGTTAAGTTCTACAAAATTGATACTGGAAAGGAAAACTTCATATTACAAAAATTTTAGGGAATGGACTCAGCAAGTATTGTCTTCATCCATAGGAGAGAAAAATCTCAGCAAAGAACTTTTATGTGTTAACTGATGGGCCTGACTGAAGTATTTTTTTTATAGAATTAATTTTATTATTTTTTATTGCATAACAAAATTTCATGATTACCTCTTCAGCTAATGTCACCAAACCACATCACACCCACAACCAAGTTACCCTCAGTCTCCACATGACTTCATTTCACACACTCCCCTCTTTTTATTCCTCTGCCCATCTTATAGCCTCAATTTCACAGTCAGATATCAGTGCTTATTACTGGTTTGTTTTCTACTCACCACTTACTTTCCTTTCTCTATACTCCACATATAAGTGAAACTCTCCAGTATTTTTTCATTTGCTTCTGACTTATTTCACTCAGCATTATCCTCTCCTTTCTCATCCATGTTGTAACAAATGGAAGGAGTTCAGTTCCTTTATAGTGGGAGTAGTATTCCGTTGTGTATAACCACCACATTTTTCTTTCTGACTCATTGATCTCTTAATTATTATGTAATGTCTATCCTTGATTCTTGTCATTTCTTATAATTGGAAATTTATTTTATGTGAAATGGGTGGCTGTCCCTGCTTTCTTTGAGTCTCATTTGTTTGTGGATTGTTTTCTAACCATTCATTATTTTTTTCCAATCAAATTAGCCTGTTTTTAATGTTTAGAGCTCAGATGGGTCTCCTATAGTCAAGAGAATATTAGGTTTTGTTTTCTAGTCCAGTCAATCACTCCTGCCTTGTGATTAGTAGTTTCAACCCTCATATTTAGAATGACAAAATGATTTGTTACTACCATTTTATCTTTGCAGTCTGTTCTATCTTTTTTTAATTTATTTTCTTAAGCTTTTTGTGTTTAGACATTAAAATAAGTAGTGTCTTTTTAACATTTCTTTTAGGGGAGGCTTGGTGTTTACAAATTCCTTCAATTTCTGTTTGTCTGGAAAGGTTTATTTCCCCTCGTATCTAAAGGAGAGTCTTGCAGGATACAATTTTTCTCCCCCCTAATAATACAGTAGTTTATTTTTACATCATTTTGTGCATTTATCCATCTCAGTTTTAATCCGTTTGGGCTTCCCTTCGCCAAATTCCTTGTGTTATCACCATTGTCCAGTGCATTTCCCTCCTCCCACTGTTTTTGATCCCATTCCGCATACCACCCCAACAAAATGTTTCTGGTATATAGCTGTTCATTATTACTATTATTTTCTCGCCTGGTCCGTTATACTCCTATTATAAGTGAAACCATTTGTTTTTTTTCCAATTCTTTATGGCTTATTTCACTAAGTGTGATCTTTTCCAGCTCTATCCATGTTGCTGTAAAATGCATGCATTTATTTATTTATTTAGGTTGCTGAGTAATTATCCATTGTATATATGTACCACATCTTTTTAATTCAGTCATCCATTTTTGGGCAATTGGGCTGTTTCCATGTCTTTCCAATTGTAAATAAAGCAGCAATAAACATAGGGGTGCAGGTATCTTTTTGAATCAGTGTTTTTGTGTCTTTTGGGTAGATACCTAGGAGTGGGATT